CTTCAAAGCCCGGAAAACATTCCTAAATGTGATTTAACCGGCCGTGAAAGCGTTCATAGTCTGATAATTCAATTACAACTTCTTCATTTCTGTCATTATCATTTCAGTATTGGAATATGTGGGACCTAAATGGAGGACTTTCGTCGCTAACATGTCAATTGCTATTTTCTTCACATTTGCCGCCTCCATTCTGCCCTGGATCGCCCTGTGGGTGGCCGACTGGAAGATGCTTTGCTACGTCACCAGCGCGCCACTTGCCTTAGCGATTTTAACCCCCTGGATCGTCCCAGAATCCGCCAGGTACTGGCTCAATTTACGCCAGTTTATCATGACTCATTTTTTTTGCTCTAGATGGCTGGTGTCGCAAGGACAGTTCGACAAGAGCATCGGAATTCTGAGGAAATTCGCCAGGATCAACAAAAGAACTGTTGATGACAAAACATATGATCGATTCAAGGTAAAAACATTGCGCAACTGCTGCACTTATGCCGTGCTTATAATTTGCATGCAACCCTCGTATATAAAATGTAGTCGCCCAGCTGAATCGTGCAGCTTCACTATTTGCTATGACTTTCGATAGGACACTTGTGTGAGGATTCAGCAGGAGGAAGAGTGCGGCAAAAACTACACCGTTCTTGATCTATTCAAGACGCCCCGTTTGAGAAAAATCACCATCATCCTGATCCTGCTCTGGATGGCCATCTCGCTGGTGTTTGACGGCCACGTCCGAAACGTCGGCACCCTGGGCCTGGATATTTTCCTCACCTTTACCATCGCCAGCGCCACTGAGTTTCCAGCGGACACGTTCCTAACGTTTGTTCTGGATGTGTGGGGGCGACGATGGTTGGCGTGCGGGTCCATGGTGGTCAGCGGAATTTTCAGCCTTTTGGCCACCGTCGTGCCTTTAGGTGAGCCCTTTCCATTAAAAGACGCTTCGTCGCATCTAATGCCCGCTTTTCCTGGACTTAGGAGTGCCATCGGCTACTTTAGCAATCATGGGCAGATTTGCCATCAATATTTCCTACAACATTGGTCTGCAATATGCTGCCGAATTGCTGCCTACAGTGGTGCGCGCCCAGGGCGTGGCTCTCATTCACATCATGGGTTATGTGGCCAGCATAGTCGCTCCTTTCGTCGTCTATTTGGTAAGTCTCTATCCCGGATTAAGTCCGGACTCAGAGCAACTACCAATTCCAGGCTCACATTGACATCTCGCTGCCTCTTCTAATTTTGGGAGTTTTGGGCATAACCGGCGGCATTTTAGCTCTATTCCTGCCGGAAACCTTAGACCAGGAGCTGCCTCAGACCCTACAAGACGGCGAAAACTTCGGCATGGATCAGAAAATCTGGGACTTTCCATGCATCAAAAAGTAACCCAACTCGCTTCACGCTCAAAGTACAACCATCTACTTAATCTCGTTGCAGGTCTGAACCAGAGAAGCCGGCCTTTGAAAGGTCAAGTTCCACAAGGCCCTCGATCAGAGCCTCGTTTAGGGGCGAGATCAGATCGAGCATGCTCAACCGGGGCTCGGTGAGATCCAGAAAATCCGTTTGTGTACCTGAACACCTGGGAGTGTAACCGGCCTCAGAACACGTTCTGAGCCATTTGCTCCTAATGGGGACTGATTCGCGTCCCCTTGAAAGCTGTGATTTTTTTTCGGTGCGTAATTTGCGTAGTTTTTTGCGGCAGTGGAGCGAGTTCCTCGCTCTATTCGCACTTGTCCTTGCTAGTTTTTAAAAGACATATCGAGTCCTAAGAGAGTATTTATATTATTTAAATAGCTATAGGAAGGTTCTGTTTCTGGTGGCTTAGAGCGTGATGGGGCCAATACCATACACAGTGGTGGGATTAATCGATCGATAAATTGATTGCATAATCTCCAATTTTTCTCATCACTAATGCATTCATACCCCCTAGTCCAAGCGCTGATGTAATGTTGCCCCGCAGAGTACAGGGTGTCCGAATAATAAATTCATAGGCTGAGTTTGGGAAATTCTATAAAAAGTACATGGATTAATACAACAGGAAATTTCTGAATATATATATAACCCAAAATGCTAACTTTTGGTGGTGATGGTTTTGCAAAAACTTTCAGGTTCCATTTTCATTCGGACACCCGGTACACTTTCAAGTGTCTGACTTGGCACTATTTGAATGGTATACGGTGGGGTAGCAAAAAGTGACCAGAATTGTTTCAAACAGGCCACCTTCCATAATGTATTTTTTGTTTATATTATCAATTGTTTTTATGTAATTTAGGTTTCTGGAGGCTAAACTTCAAAAGTGTTCGTAATTTATCCATTACTAGGGACAATCTTACTTTTTATTTACATGATTAATAAAATATATTTTTTTTTACAAAACTGTCCTTGATTTGCTCTATACAGAGTGTCCCTGGTGAAAGGTGCCAGATTGTCTTAGAGTTGTTTCACACATATACCAGGGGGAGGGGCAGGCTGAATCTGGAGTTCCTTTTGCAAATATACAGGGTGATTCAACGTGAGCGACTTTCGTCTGCATATAAGTGCAAATTTCGTTTCAAATCAGTTTCTCTTTAACCGTTATCAAGCAAAAAATCACTTTCGTTCGCTAAACGAACATCTATGGCCAAGATTCTAGCTATCAATATTATGGTGGGGGCAACTGATTGCACGTAGGTATAATATAAAAACAATGTAATATTGGATTCGTCACTCAGAGAGCGTTACTTCATCAGGGCCCTTTGCCAATTGTGGTCTGCATTTCACCGTAACACATACCTAATCATATTATATCAGCCATAAGTCGATTTCACAGATAACAGACTTAATGAGAATCAAATCGATATCATGAACTGAATATGCAGATAACCACAAAGATCAAAGCAAACAGTTGATGAGTGGGTTAGAGTCATTATTGAGGGATTAGAAGGAATGGGATATACATATTTGTAGTCAAGTTGGGAAAAATGCGGATGTTCGGCAACCGTGTGCAATCGATTAGTATTGACAAAGCTCAACTGGGCAATAAACCGCAACATTGACAACTAGGCCGCGGTAACACTGTGTTGACTTGCGTTTTTGAGTTGATGCCGCTCTCTGAGTTAATGAGCTTTATCTCATCGGTTAATGAGTTATAACTCTTAACCTAAAAGAGAACTTTATTTCAATTTGATATTTTTTGACAATTTCAAAAAAACGATAAAGAACACGACGAGTTTTCTTGTAAAATCGATCTCTTAATTTTTTTGCATAACACTCTGGGTTTGCCAGAGTGTTAATTAGTTAACAAACTGCGTTTTTCTGTTTAGAGAGAGTTTTGTTGAGAAATATTGACTTGTGAAGAAACCGGAATTGAAAAACCCAGATTATCCACCGCGACGAAGGTGACGAGTTTTCCAAATAATTGATTATAACGTTTCGCTTGTTTTGGTCGGGGAAATATTTTTGGGAAACAATCCAGAAAAAAATTCGGATTTTGCACGAAATTCGAATGAAATTTTTTTTACAAGGCTGTTAACGAAGCCAGTGTTTCAATAAAATTCATTTTATAATTTTTCCCAGGAAATATCTGAAGATTATCAGTATTATTAAATAAAACTAAAAAATAATGCGTTATTGCCTAGAATTAATTGCTTAATAAAAACTGTTGCAAAACTTGAAAGACCGGAAATTTTAAAGAAACTTTAAAAGTCTTCAGAGCAATGAGGGCGGCTAATTTTCTCAATAACTTTTTGAAAACTTTTGCTTGGGTCGTTTTTTTTTCAAGATAATCCTAATTACTTTCGGTAGAAAACGACATAAAATATGTGGGTGACGAGTTTTCCAAATAATTTATTATAAGTTTTCGCTTATTCTGTTATTTATTATTATTATAATTATTGTTTATTCTGTCAAACATTATTTGATTTTTGTCTCAAAGTTTGTTTAAAGCTTGAACCGAATTCCAAAACTTTTTACAAGGCAACAAACTAGGATCGGATCTAAGAAAATGTCTTTTATAATTTTTCGCAGAAAATACTTTAAGATTGTCAGTATTTTTAATTGCAAGTTTAGAAAATTGAGCGTTTAGAAGAAAGAGTGCAAACAAGTAAAAAAAAGGTGATCAACATTTTCCCAGCCACAGAACTGAATTACTGCGCCGCTGCGTTGGGTTGAAACACCTAGATATTTACGCAGCACTGCGTTAACTCATAAAAATTCACTGAATTACCCAGGCCTATTGACAACGCAATAAATTAAATATTAAAAGATACAACAAATCAACTGATGGATCGATCTAATCAGTGATAGTTGATGACTAGGCCACGAGGGCATTCAAAGACACAAAGACAAAAAAACCTTTATTTGATAACATAGATTCCAACGCTAATATGTACTCTAAAAATAAATTATTTATCAGCTATACACAACGGCGGCTAAACACTATGGTGATCCGAACTAAGAACTCCTAAGAGTTTGATAACATGGTAGTGATTAGTGTGCACTTGCTAAGTAGATACTCAAGATTATACAACAGATGCCAAAAAACCGTGAATTTTGATGGGCCGATGGCTATTCGAAAAAAATCAATAAACCAGCCGAGGAAAGAACAACCGAAAACGAACAAAATCAATCGACCACTGATTGAAAAGCTTGGATTTTTTGGCATCCCGACACTCACTGGGTCACTAATGAAATATTCCGCTACATTAAGGAAACGTTCTCCAGAATGGGCTGATGTGCCCAAATCAAAAGCAAATAGTCAAAACAACAAGAAAAAAATCTCGAATCAATGAAAGTGAAACCAAAGAGTTACCTTACAAGCCAAATCTAATGTCTGGGCATGGGCGATTTGGGCGGCCGCTTTTCCAAGTAACTTTTGATGCCGGGAATGTTGTGAACTTTGTCCTTCAGCCCTTTCAGCGATGGGTAACCGTTGAGGGCCGTTTTGCCGTACATCGATTCGAATTGGTCCAATAGCACGGCAAAAACCAAATCGGACCAAGTAATCTGAAGGGAGAGAACAATCAAATTAACATTGAAATTCAACAATAATTGAATACAGCTTGTTTTATTTTTTTTTTAATTTCAAAATAATTAACACTTCTTTTTACCACAATCTTTGTCAACATAATATCAAGAAAATGATTGTGTCTCTATTGGGGAAATATTGAAGAGGATCGAAGGTTCATCTAGACGCACCCAACAAATTCGCGCTTTCAACCCGAAAAACCCAATTTGAATGTTTGTTCAGTTGCAATTTCGCATTTGCGTTTGAAACCGCGATGGAAAAAATATTCCCGACGTATCGCAAGCACGAATGACCTGCATCTTCAGAGGTGTTTTCTCGAAAGCTTCAAGACTTAAGCCGGCGTGGAAAACAAATGATTCTCGCCGTTTTGCAAGCACTAGTGGCTATGCGATTTTTCCACTTGTCCCAAACTAAAGTTTCTTCTATGTTCCTCTATTCTGGTTTCAAATGACCTTTTGGTTGTTCTGATGTAGACGCTTGCCCAAAATCAGGGTACTCATCACTTGCAGTTGCAAGCAAAGGCTGTCAAAGTTGTCTTTTTCTCAATTTTCGTTTCTTCAATTCTATCCATCGCTCTAGGAATAAAAGGTAAGTAGACATGCGTGGCCTGATGGCGGCTTTGGTTTGGAGGAGATCAGAATTAACCACTTTTCTTCCCATTTAACAACAACCGTATCTAAAACCAAGCTGGGACAAACCCCTAAAGGACACTAGAACTCAATACAGCAGAAAGAAAATGAGAGAGAATCATAATCAAACGTCTTGCAATTCTAGGAAAAATTACATTCATTCAATACAGGTGTACTGTGAAGAAATGTACTTGGAATAGCGCTCCCAAAAACCCCATTTCCAGCCTGATCGAAATTATCACCACTTGAACTCAATGCCAGCACTTTTTTTCCCTGGTAAAGTGCATCAATACTGATCTATTATCCCACAGCGTGTTTGTCATAGCATTTTTTCCCCGATAATTTTCGAAAACAGTTCAGGGAGGGGGACAATCAATCAATAAAGCTATAAATAGGTGGCCCGAATGCAAAAACAACTTATTAGTGCTTAGACTACGAAAATGGCCCCCTTACATTTTTTCGCACTGGTAACCCTGTGGTGTTCAGTTGGAATTTGCCAAATCGATTTTGGTGAGTTAATTATTTTTGCTGTTTAATTTACTTTATGAATGCGTTTATTTTGTGGTACATCACAATAGATAACTTGTAAGGACTGTTTTGCGTAGGTTCCTTATAGAAAAGGTGTAGAATATTTTTGAATCACTCTCTATGCTTTTCAATTGCATAGGTACTGAGGGTTTTTAATGGCTATTTCAATCCATACGTGGATTCATTTTAAGTCAAAATGTAAGAACGACTTTTAAGTAGGAATCTTCAAGGCGGTCAGTGAATTCTTTCGGTTTCTAGTCTTTCCATCTTTGCGAAAAAAATCCGTATTGTGCTGGACAAGTGGGCGGAAAGATAGTTTGGAAACTGGCACGATCTAGGGGAACTAGGGAGGAGAGAGCACTTGACTCCCTTCCTTTTTCATCAACTCATTATTATTATCAATTTAATTGCGAAACCGTTAACCCAATACGTCTCATACATACAATGCATATCAATGTTTGTCTTTGAGTGAATTGGGAGATTGTCTCTATTTGTTTACGTTAATGCATCTTTACTATGTTATCGGGATTAGCAGTTGATCGATATTATTTCAACATATCAGATAAATGTCAAATCTTAAACCTAATCCAGATCGTAAATTTCGCCTGCATGACTTAATGAGTTATTGCCAAAAAAAACCAAGAAAAATTAATGCAAGTTCCAAAAAACAGAACGTTCTTTGTGGTTGACCTGCAGTCTCCTAAGCTTCTTTTGTGTTATTTCTCATAATTATTTTATTGAAGATGCGATGTCTGCCTTCAGTGCGAACTTTCAACAACAAAACCGTCTCAGGAATAAAACATGGACACTAAGAATGTCCACCTCGTCAGTCGTTGACATTGCACACAAATAAGCCCCATATTTATTAGTAGTTTCCGAGCAAAGGCCGGTTTCTTAAACATTCTACGCAACACTGTATAGTTATGTATTGTTTCCAAACTTATTCGGGGCTGATAGACGATCACATCTGTCAGTATTCGTGTTTGATCGGGCTTGCAAGGCTTTTTTTAAATTATTATTTTTTTCTTATTTCAGTTTATGGTGAAGGCAATGACAATCCTCTCATCCTCAATAATATAGTTGATAAAACTAAGTTAAGAGACGACGACAGTTCTAGTACATCCAGCACGTCTGACTCAAACTCTGGCAGACCCAGCTCTTCTGACCCGAGCTCTAGCGATCCCAGTTCTTCTGACCCCAGCTCTTCTACTCCAACTACTAGCGGACCCAGCTCTTCTGACCCGAGCTCTAGCGACCCCAGTTCTCCTGACTCCAGCTCTCCTACCCCAACTTCTAGCGATCCCAGCTCTTCGGACCCGAGCACTAGCGATCCAAGTTCTTCTGACCCCAGCGCTCCTACTCCAACTTCTAGCGATCCCAGCTCTTCGGACCCGAGCCCTAGCGATCCAAGTTCTTCTGACCCCAGCGCTCCTACTCCAAATACTAGCGATTCCAGCTCTTCTGACCCCAGCKCTYCTACTCCAAMTACTAGCGATTCCAGCTCTTCTGACCCCAGCTCTTCTACTCCAACTTCGGACCCGAGCTCTAGCCCAACGGACGTTACTGATAAACCTAGCACTGGAGTCAGCACTAATGCAAGCGGAATTTCATTGTTAATCGTCTCATTCTTCAGCACATTATTAGCGTTTTATCGCATGTAGAAGCGCAAATTTTGTATTGTAACGAAGCATTGCCAACGCTTTTTGAATGTGATTTATTGTAGACTAAATTTTACCAAACGCTGGTTTCACGATTGTTGTGAATATTGAATTGTTTTAAGTTATTATGTAATATACATATATGTACAATTTCGAGGAAAGTGAATAATCGATTTCCCAAACCAGTGGAATAATCAAATTATCAAGAGTTTGTCAAAAATAATGTCATAAATAGGACTCAAAAAAAGTTTTCAAGGTTTTGCTAAAGATTAAATGTGTTAAGGTGAATCAATGCACCATGGGGTCATTTTGAATGTTTTTTAGACCCACTTACGGCAAGTACGTACTTTCATAGTGACTTTGGGAAAAGGGCGCCGACTGACACTTTGTAAATCGTTTCGTAGTTTTATTAGCCGTAGTAAGCTAACGCAGTTTTGTAGAAAAAAGAAAACAAATCTATTAGATAAACAAAGCTCTTAAAAAAATAACCTGAAATGACTAAGTCGGGTATTGCGCGTTAAATAACAAGTAGAGGTTGTTTAAAATTGATCAAGTTTCCCAGGCAGCCAAACGACCCAGACTAAACGTGAGATAAACGTCATAAAATATACAACTGGCGTTACCAAGTTACGTCTTTATGACTTCTACACGACGTGAATTTGTCGCATCCGCACGACGTGAGCGAAATGCCTCAAAACAGACGTGATATCTACGTCATTATCACGTATTAATTAAGCCAATAGGACGTTTCAATTTCGTCAATTATAGCCGGTAGTACCGTCGTATTTAACGACAGATTAAGTTAACGGCCGTTTTATTATGTTATTAATTTTTTTAAATTAACTATGGCTTCTGTTTCGCCACGCTAAGACCGAGACTTTAAGAAGTAAAAACTGAAAAACGCGTATACTTAATCAATTCTCAATGTTCGACTATTTTCCAATCGAATTAGTTTTTCTGTTGCTGAAGATTCGATCTTCAATTTTTGGTTCGAGCAGAAGATTTCCCCTTTCGAAAATATCTATAAGAATATGGTTTAAATAGAGGTCTAGAGTCCGATTGCTTAGTGCAATTCACGTATCTGTATCAAAATCTCTATGGATTTTTTTATTTGAATCATACGATTGTCGTACGCCACTAATAATTAATAAACCATTGCAAAATCTACTTACATCACTCCCCACGGAAAATCCGCCATTTTCCTGCACGATTTTTTCGAACTTCGATAGATAAAACGGCAATTCCTCCTTGGTAACTCTGGCTCGGATTTCCTCGCGTTTAATTGGGTCTGGTTCCTTCATTATCTGCATAACGGCTGCAACAAGAAGCAGGTCCAAAGTTTGCAATAACCAAAGGAAAACAACGGTGTGAACCTACCAGCCTGAAGATCGCCAAGTGTGTCGACCAAAACGTCGCATTGCAAAGCCTCCCATTCGGTCTGGCCCACTAAGCCGAATTTGCGCGCCAGATATCGGGCTATTGCGTTACTTTGGGCTACTTGCTGACCATCGATTTCCAGTACGGGCACTTTGCCATAGGGAGTACCTGCAAAAATGCCCATCAGTGAAAATTCAATCGGAAAAAACTGCAATCCCGAACGATATACTCACTTTTTTTAATTTCAGGCCATTTGTCTTTTTGAATCCGCTCGTCCTCGTACTCGACACCGGCATACGCAAATATATATCGTATATGTTCGGCCTTTCCAGGCAAATCGAAGTAGAGTAGCTTGTATTGGTGATTGTCGTCGGTCATTCTAAGCGACCGCTGCAAAGAACAGAAGCAAACATCAAAAATTGAAAAATGTAAAAGTTGTGCTAAAATCAATTTCAACCGCACACATTTAACGCCTAAAAATAGCCCATGTGTATGTACAACGGAGTTTTCCAGCGAGCAAGTTTTGCACATTCTAAAACACTTCACAGGCCATTATCGTACATATACACGGTGATTCTAATAGGACTTCCGTTCCCCAAGTGTTTCCACCACACCCAACATTCCAACATACGAAGTTTCTCTGTATGTGCATACAAAGTGTCTCAGAAAAGGTTGGAATAAAAAATTCTCCGGACCGCCCACCCTAGAAAAATTTCGGCCAAAAATCAAAATTTTACATGCGTGTTTTTTTAACTCAATCGATTCCTTTTGACGTAAGAAGGTCACAAATATGCATTTATAAAGTTTTTGGGTCAATAATAAAGCAGAAATCGTCGGATAACGATAGTGACCGATCAAAAAACGCTTAAATGTGCCAAAAATGTCAATTATTTTGGATCTGAAACATTTTTTTCAATGAGTTCGATGCATTCCTCGCGTCCGTGAGCTGAAACTGATTCAAAATTTAAGATATTAAAAATTTCGACCAAAAATCGAAATTTTATATGCGTATTTTTTGGGCTCAATCGATTCCTTTCGACGTAAGAAGGACACAAATATGCGTTTATAAAGTGTTTGGGTCAATAATAAAGCAGAAATCGTCGGATAAAGATCGTAACCGATCAAAAAACGCTTAAAATGTTCGGAAAATGCAAATTATTTTGGATCTAAATGCTCTGGAAATTTCAGTACAATCGCAAAATAATCTGCTTTTTCAGGCAAATCACAATGAAAACCTAAACGATTTTTTTTTGAATTTTTCATTAATTTAAAAAGTTCTATCAACTGCCAAGTCCTATTCTGCGACAATAATCAGCTAAATTTGTTCCGACAAACCCTATCAACTGAAAAACTAAAGCAAAGGAACGAAAACTTGTGGACATCGTGGATAAAATTACAAAACTTCGGGATTTTCTATCAATTTCCACATAAGTCGGTTTAGAATATACGTGAGCTTATCGATAAAAAGTTTCGGAAAAATTCGATTTTAAGTGGCGCCCATGCTGGCCTTCGAGGGAAATTGCTAAAGATAAAGCACTTTAGGCATGACACGACGCTATCACGCAAAATTTCCAAACTAAAACGGTCAGCGATGGTATCGCTGTCCCAATTGCTGACTTACGTGCCACACATTCATGTACGCTATACGTTTACATGTTGATTAGCTTACTAAAAATAGAATGAATTTTGTATTGTAATTGAATAATCTACACGAACCATTAATTGCGGTGCTGATTAGGTGGAAGATTTCGTTGATTAATCCTAAGGATTAAGTACTTACATTATGGTTCGAGATGAAACTGACTGCAAAAAACGATAAAGCACTCAACAGAACGTGTAGATACATGAGTATTGATTGGGTGGATCGACTGCAAAGCCTTGAATTGAATTATGAACTAATAAATGGAGACTGGTGCTTGTTTAAACAAGCGCAACATGTGTTATCTATTGTTTACTGGCAAATAGAACGGAAAATCTAGCATCTAGCATGGAAAGAAAAGGAAATTCACACAGTTATTCGGATACTTCAATGTCTATTTAACCAGTAGCTTCGAGCACAAGCTTTTCGCAGTGGAAGTTCGATTTTTCTTGGGACGATTACCAAATGCGGTCCGAGCGATGCATGCATCTGAATTACAAAACATAGTTTTACTTACGGAAATGGGGTTTTCAATGCAGCCACAAATCCCTCGGAAAATTCCTAAAGCCACCACTTGGCTCTTTAATTTCCCCAACGACCTGAACCGACTGAAATTTCAGCCGGGATTTTCGTTTCGCGACTCAATGTTTTCCTCTATCAAATTTTCGCGCGCATCGTTATTTTCCGATAGCTTTTCCACGCTGCTTGATTGCCTCTAGAACCCATCCACAATAGAGAATAGACCGAACATTTTAGAGCCAAATAGCGACTGAAGTAGAGTTGAAAAGTTTTGTGGTCACCGTAATGCTAATCTGTATAAGATGTATGAGTGTTGGGTTGGTTCGATCGATAGATTGCGGAAAAATCATTTTTTTCCTAGGCCTTGATTTTAGCCAACAATTTTTTTTCGTTTGCCAAAAAAATTTTGACCAAAACAGTGTTTTTTCGCAAAACACAAATGTAGCCATGTATAAAGTTTCGGCTATATTTGAGCCATCATCGGGAGATTTTCAAATAATGCAAACTGCTGAAAAAAACACGCAAACGAAATTTAACTTTGTACCCAAAATTTCAAAAAAGGTCGCGGGTTCAAAAGGGTGATTTGCATCACATTTCTTGCTGAAAAGGACTTACTTTAATGGAATTTCAATAAAAATTTGATCTCATCAATTTTTTAAAATGGAAATCCCCATTTTTGATCATTTTATCTTATTCAGTATTAAAAACAAGTTGTACATACTTTCCTGGCTGTGTTTCAATTCCAAATCAAAATCAATTTTTATTTTTCATTCATTTTTAAGAACATGTATGCCAATGCTTAACGGAGCAACAACGCTACACATAAAAACTGATGATGGTGGAAAAATACACCGAAACGTATTTTAATTGATAAATAGAGACAATAAATGACTGAAACCCAGGAATTGACTTTGAATTAAAAACAAGGGTAAGTTTATGTAAAGTTGTCTATTCCAAAATTGTTTAGTTTTCGTCAATTTAATGTTTTTAAATGGCTATTTTAAATGGCCCTCATATCATTTTAAATCTTTGAATATAAAACTAACTAACTAAAATAAAAATATATATTGTACCAATTGTTACATCTGGATTGTCGTGTGAAGCACTGAACATCATTTAGCAAACTTATTTTAACATGAAATTTTGAAGAAATGCACAATCCTTGTTAAGGCCTGGTAGCGCCAGAGACAAGGGATTATTTCTTGTCTCTGGGTAGCGCCTTTGGGGTGTGGGGTGGGCTTCTTGTCCTTCGTCCTATCGGGCGGTAGGGGTGGGGGCCTCCGTCTTCTGGTCACTGTTCGAGTTGTGGTCCACAGCATATTTGGGGGGATATTTTGTGTTGTGGTCTTCGAAAACAGCGCGTACTGCATCAGCCTTCCCAAGATGACGCGGGAGGAGATTACTTTGAGCTCTCTTTTGGCTATGAGACCTCGTGTTTGGAGCTCCGTTGAGGAAGTTAGTTTTATATTCAAAGTTTTAAATCATGCCAATCGTAGTTGCCATGGCGAAAGTGGCCATTTTTAATTCAATCAGATGCCAAAAGAATGCTGACAGCTGTCAGTTAAGTATTTTGAAAATAATCAATAATCATACCCGGGCGCATAAATTATAGACACGAAGATTATTTAAACGGATTTATTATTTATGGAGAATGTAATAATAATACAAGAATCCGCCTTGAGACTTTCGGAAAATGGGCCCGTCACCATCCAAACTTTCAAATCAATTTCAAGAAACATTCGCCCAATCGCCCAGAAAAAAACTTACCCTCATAAATCCTCGTCCCCCGGCCACAAACTGGACAAACTTTTGCCGCTATTTTGCAAGTTTTTTCACTTCGTTTCGCAAGAAAAACGACAAGCGTCCCGCAACAACACATAACGGGAAACACCGACCGGAAATGACCCATTTTGAGCTAGACTGTTATTCATTTGTTTTAAACAAAACGTCGACATCCTTTTCGCACCCGAGTCGCATTACTTAAGGCGGAAGGGAGATGAAATGATGTGAACAGCCCTTCGGGTGCTAATGAATCGTCCCAAATTTAGATTCGGTTAATGGGTTAAATTTTAAGGTTAGGTATCAGGTATACACAACATTCAAACTTTACTGGGCAATTTAACAGTTTATCATGCAGTGACTAGGCCCGCATTCAACATGTACTCTTACAATTGGATGCCTAGAAGCAGATACAAGCGGCCAGGTCCGGAATCCCAGTTAAAAGTATGCATTTCGCATTTGCCGGCGAATAGTCCTAAAACGCCAGTATCTGTTTCAATAGGGCACAGTGAGCAAAGCGAACGTACATTTGCTCTATTTCGAAGTGGATGATGCTTATAGGATATACGTCAACATAGCCAGCCCCCCAGTGCTGCTGCCCCACTTGCAGGCTACTGTGGAAGTTTTGAACTTAAAAACCTTTAGCAGGTCAACCTACACTGGAATAATGGGGCCTGAGACTGTTTGCAGATACTCCAGCAGCCAGGATGTAACTGCTGAGCCCTGCACTCAGTTTCTGATCTCTAGTCAAGTGTACAGTGATATGAGGGAAATCGTGGCTGTGGACTCAGTAGCTAGAAAACTGGAGACATTTGTGGGGGACAGTGCGGTTTACCTGGCTCTAAAGGCTCTAAAGAAGCACTCGAAAAAACTGCAGGTAAAGTTTCAAGGTTCTACAAAGTCTCCCTTTAACCAGATGTATTTGCAACTGAAGAACCTGGAAGTAAAAGTGGTCACTGATGTGGTTTTTGCCAACGAAAATTCCTCGCTGTACACATTCTACGACTTTAAGGAAGTGAGCTGTTTCAATGTCTACCCCAGCCAAGATCTCTTGACCCCAGGCGTGGCTAGCGAGTACTTGTTCGGGTGAATATTCTGCTGTTGGGCCCCAATATCTGGAATTGAATAGACTGTTGCTTTCAGTATTTTATCAGTGTCCAACATCGGCCAATTTCAGCTTAAGGACAACTCTAAGGAAATATTCGTCAAGTTCACCGCTCCTAGTAAAAATCTCCAAGATTTCCACAGCAGTTTTGTGCTAATCAAAAAATACATAGTTTTCACGGAAACCTACACTGATCCAACTGTGCCAACACTGCAATATATCCTAGTGAATAGTGCGGATGTTCGTATCATCAAACGGGCGGAGCAGGCCCTGAAGCCCGCCTTCTATGGAATCGAGCAGGAATTCCACTGTAAAATGGCCTTTGAGTACTACCTGCAGCCCCATAAGATATCCCAGGTACTTCCAAGGATGCGCAAGCAAGTGTATAGTCAATTGATGCAATTATAGGCCATTGTCGGCTACCAGGGAGGCCCGGAATGCTGGCTGGAAGCCACAGTGTCGGATACCGCAAGCTTCAAGTCGGCTGATAAGGTTTATGTGGTTATTCCTGAAGAATTGCTTCCAATCTCAGCCTTTCTTAAAGAGGACGGCATTTATCGGGTGTTTTGCAATAGCCGATGGTAAACCGAGTGCTGGATCCTGAATTCATCTCTTAATCGAGCTCTTTTGTAGGAAAGTAGGTGACTTGACTAGGTATCGAGAACTTTACGGGCTGAAAGAGCTAAAACGGGTGGTGGTAGCCGATAAGGACGCAGTTTTTCAAGAGACCGACTTACCAGCTGTGAATGCAGCGAGTGCGGATTTGTGGGGATTCGACGAAGTCAAAACCGCCATTTCTCAAACTGACGACTATTCCATGATTTCATTCACATTGCCCATTGCTAGAAAGAGCTTCCAACAGAGCAGCTTCTCCTCGTGGTTCCCCAAAAGGTTCCAAAGCTTGCCCCATTTCGGGAACGTCGGTATTAAAGCTGCAGAGCGCACTCTCATTAGCAACTTATCAAATAATTTTATCAGGAAATCTACAGGAGCGATTGGCCTTTTTCGATGAAAACAGTCGTGCTTACATCGACCTCTACCTGTCCAACAGGGATAACCATGTGAGGCCTCTAGGCCTCATTGAAGGCATGCTGGTTAAAGTGAAACATGTTCAGATCAACAAGCGCAAGTACCTTAGATCCACTGTATTTACCAGCTTTGAGCTAATGGGCTTCAGGCCGCAGCTCACATTTTCATCAGCTACATTGTGAGTGGATCGAGACGACTGTTTAACTGTTTCTGACGATGTGGACATCCTCAGGCTCTTCTCCCAACGGGGCGCTTGGAAATGGCGAAAATCCACCCCGGAAACCATACTGAGTGCTTTCCGCCGAATACCCGTTCATTGCACTGTCCATGGGACCGTTTTGTTTCGATCCATCCTGGATCTGCATCTGGATACGGTTTGTGTGAGCTGTGGCAGGGAGATGCAGCACCGGTGTTTAAGGTGCGACTCTTCTGAAGCCCGAGTCGTCATCTATATGGTGTATGTTGGTGTTTTCTTTAGTTGATTTATTTGTAGATAGCTTTCGGTTCCAGAATCCAAGTCCAGGATTCTTGTCATTCGGAATTCACTATGGAAATCAACGAAGTTTCCTTTCTACTTGAACTGCTGGGCGTCAACACCGATGAAGGCCTGGATCTGTTCACCAAAGAATGCGTGCGACTGAAAGCCGTTAAAATCGACTTTGTTGATCTCAAGCTAACGACTGTAGGTATTGCAATTTTCTGATCGGCTTTTGTGGGGAAGTTCTCGCGTTTCAAGGGCTTGTCCATCGACTCCCCGCTCCATAAAATGATCAACGTTATCCAGATGGACATCAATTTGAAACTGTACTTTCTGATGGAAGTCCTGTGCCTGCGGCAGGAGTATGGCCGGAAAGCCTGGAGAGTTCTGGACTATCAGATTTTAGCTGATTTACAAAATATTTTCTGAGATTTTTTTCCTATGCAATTTAAATTGCCATTATTTTGGAGAAGTCAGAAACGATTTTTATTTAACCAGCCAAATCTCCAATCTTTTTTTATGAATTAAATCCTCATTAATTAATAGTTATTGACCCGTCCAAAAAAACGGAGCCCTGTCAGGAGAAGTTCTGGCAACAGGGCATTTGACGCCTAACCTAGAAGTTATGTCATGTTGATTGAAAAACAAAACTGGCTCAACTAATTAGTTTAAACAATAGGGAATAATGAGACTACCCATATTGGCTAAAGAAACCTTTGCACTATTTGCCCGCAAAAAGTCCCCATGTCCGCAGCGCTTCCTTTCAGGTTGCGGCCTTTGGGTAAGCAACTTAGCCCTGGCAAGGGTTTTAGGGCAAATAGGACTGTATTTCTAACAAAACTGAACTTTCCTTCGTTTAAAGGAGGCACAGGCGTCCTAACAATACTTAATTAAGGCTGATGACCACCACTTAAAGCAGACCAAACTAGCTAAAACCCAGTCAATTTTTTTGTACTAGACTGAAGATTTGTCGCCGCAAGTGAAGCAGCAGATAGAGAGCCACTGGCGAGATAAAATCGGCGTCAAACCACCCAAAACCCCTACTCCTACCACCAAAGACAAGTACTATGTGCTCTCGATGTTTCCCTATCCTTCAGGAAGCCTCCACATGGGGCACGTAAGAGTGTACACCATCAGTGACACTATCGCCCGATACCAGCGCATGAATGGACGCAATGTAAGTCACCCCCAATCACCAATAGAAAGCCGACTAATACCGTTTTCCTGCAAAGGTGATCCATCCGATTGGCTGGGACGCTTTCGGGCTGCCTGCGGAAAACGCGGCTATCGACCGGCAGTTGGCCCCTTCCGATTGGACAGCAAACAACATAAACCACATGAAAGCGCAGTTAAAACAGTTGGGCTGCAGCTTCGAATGGGAGCGCGAGCTGGCCACTTGCGACCCGGAGTATTACAGATGGACGCAGGATTTGTTTTTGAAACTATACGACGCTGGTCTCGCTTATCAGAAGGAGGCGTTGGTTAATTGGGATCCGGTGGATCAGACTGTGCTGGCCGATGAGCAGGTGGATGAGAACGGCCTGTCTTGGAGGTGATTTTTATAATGTGGGATCAGGCAGAAGATCTTTTAGATCACTTAACTCCAGCCCTGTGCAGCCAATCTGTCCCTTGCCACTTCAAAGGCTTTTCATTCCAGATCAGGAGCTAAGGTGGAGAAAAAGCTGCTAAAACAGTGGTTTATCCGGACGACAAAGTTTGCCAAGCAATTGTATGACGGGCTGGACGACGCAGTGCTGCACGACTGGAGGGACATTATCAAGCTGCAAAAACACTGGATTGGGAACTGTGATGGGGTGAACTTCGACTTCAAAGTGAACAGCAGGTAGCTGCAAGTAATCCTGGAGGTGAACCTTGGTTTGAAACATTCCGATCAGTTGCAGCTCCACATCCGTTGCAACCTTTTGGACGTCCACTCCGGAGCTGATAGAGGAAGCGAAATTCGTCGCCGTGACCAGCAACCATGTACTGGCTAAGCAGGAGGGAGTTACCAGCGCCGATGGCACTGTGAAGCTGCAAAGCGTCGTAACTAATCCATTTAACAAAGAGCAGTTGCCCTTGTATGTGACCAACGACATCGAGTTTGCTGATGAGACTGATAGTTTTATAGGCAAGTTGGTTGTAATTGAAAATGGGAGTCGCTAAATGCTTTACCCAGGCATCCCTGCGGGCTGCGACCAGGCGTCTCAATTCGCTCTGGCGCACAAAATTCCGTTCAGCCCACACGCGTGTGTGACCAGCGACGAAGAACTGGAGAAAAAACGTCAGGAATTGTGCCGAAGAGCGCAGGAAATGAACGCTGGCGGTCACTGGTCAAGCGCGAAGCTTCGCGATTGGCTAATTTCCAGACAGAGGCAAGTTAACGCTAAACTTCCGGTGACAAATAATTATTGCTGTAGTTCATTTCAGATACTGGGGCACTCCGATACCGATCGTTCACTGCAAAAACTGCGGACCAGTGCCGGTTCCGCGCGAAAAGCTCCCTGTTGAGCTGCCCAAACTGTCCCAGCTCTCCAGCAAGGGAAAGTCGCCTTTAGAGGACGTCTCCGAATGGGTAATTTGGCATCTCAACTCACCCGAAAACCTTCTACTTTTGCGACTCTCCAGGTCAACACAAATTGCCCGCAATGTAACGGCGAAGCCAAGCGGGAAACCGACACTATGGACACTTTTGTGGACAGTTCCTGGTACTTCTTGCGGTACCTGGACCCGCAGAACTCCAAGCAAATGTTTGATAAGGAAAAGGCTTTTCAAATGACCCCAGTTGATCTGTATATTGGCGGCAAAGAGCACGGTAAGAGCTAATGGGGGCGCCTTGACCCCAAAAGTAACTAGCAAAAGTTTGCAGCCGTTTTACATTTGTACTACGCACGATTTGTCAGTCATTTCTTGCACTCGTTGGGGCTGCTGCCCGAAAGAGAGCCGTTTAAGCGGCTGCTGGTTCAGGGAATGGTGATGGGGCGCAGTTTTCGGGTGAAAACCACCGGCCAATATCTACCAGAAGACCAAGTCAAGGTGATTGGTAAGCGAAAGTAACCTTTAATGAACAGTCGCAGTAATTTCGACTTTTATGAGCTTAAAGCCGTTTGCGGACGGCAACTCGAATTTTTTCATAACGAAGCATGAAATCGACAAGATGCGATAGAAGAATCAATGGTTGGGTTTGAATTAGCATAAATTTATGCATTTTTTGCAGACTTGAAGAAAGGCAAAGCGGTGAGCAAAGAAACCGGAGATCCCGTGACGATTTCTTGGGAGAAAATGAGCAAATCGAAACACAACGGCGTGGATCCCGAGGAAATGTTCCGGGAATATGGCACGGATACCACTCGACTGCTGATTCTGGCCGATGTGGCTCCGACATCGCATAGAAATTGGAATTCAAATAGTGCGTTCCTCAAAAAATCGCGTCCAATCGGATTAATTAGCCTGAATTTTATCCAGCTTTTCCTGGCGTGCTGAACTGGCAACGGCGGCTTTGGATTACCGTGCAGGACTTCATCAAGCACCGCACCAACCCGCCCGCAATTGCCGCCGACGAGGAGTTTAAGAACCAGGAGGACTATTTGTGGGATTCGCGCAACTTCTACACCAAAGGCGTCTCGTTTAACTACATTGTTTCGCAGCAGATGAGCGTGGCAGTTTCCAAGATGCAAGGCCTGACTAACAGCCTTAGAGTAAGTGAGCGGAAACGCGAAACTAAAGTGACCTCACCTACAAGTTTGTCCTTCCAGCGAGCTCCTGTTGCAGTTTTTTGTCATAGTCGACAGTTCGAACGCGCGTTGGCCGCCCAAATCATCCTTCTGGCCCCGATGGCGCCCCATTTTGCATCTGAACTATGGGCCGGATTTACTTCAGCCCCCAATCGCCTTAATCAGTCAACCGAGATTTTATGGGATCGGCCGGTTTTGGAGCAACAGTGGCCGGAAACTGATATGAACTATCAGCTGGACCTGGTCTGCCAGGTTGGTCAAGTCCAGTGTATTCTTCTAGCAGCTCCGGCTCAGTTGAACGGTTTTAGGTGAACGGCTGGGAAAATTGCACAGTGAAATTCGAACGGCGCATCCTGGATCGGCTGGATAAGGAGGAGGCAGTGCGGGTGGCGATGAGCCAGCAGGCGATCGAATCGACCCTCAGAATGAGGAACGTGTTGAATGTGAAGTTTACAGTGTACCCGGGGGTTGATAGTGTGGTGAACTTTATGACCGACCAGCCGCCCCCTAAGAAGAAACCCGTGGTAAGTAGTAGCCTTTCTAAATTTTTTTGAAAAACAACTGAGTGTGCACTTTACTGTTTATTTCGCTAGCTAGACATTACAAAAACTAACTAAAATTGTAAAAATATTCCTATATATAAATACAAGGCAAGCATATACAGGGCGGGTGCAACTTGTTGCTCTACTCTACCACTACTACCTACTACTACCACTACTAGACGGACAGTATATGTTTACTGAGGTTTTTTAATGGAGCTATAATTATAGTTTGATCAAACATTCGGTCAATTTAAAAACGCCCTGGATCCGGCCCTGTCTATTGCTCTGTTTTCGCTAGAACACTGTCCAATGCAACAAACAAGGGTTAAACTAGTCGGGTCTGTTTCTGTCCTTGTCTATTTGCCACTCTCGGTTGGCACGTTCGCAACGGCAGACCAGCTGCGACAGGGCTGGCTTCAAAAATTTTTGCACAGAAAATTAAAAAAATACTGCCCCATTTAAAACCCCAAGTTCGATTTTTGGCTAGTTGAGATCATGTTCTCGATTAGCTCTCCGTGAATGAACTTATTTAGGACTGTCTCCACGGTCAGTGAAATCCATGCTTCAAACTCGTTCAATCCCTATGCAAGCCCGTTTAAAATCGAACTTTAACTTTTGATTAATAAATCATTCGTTTCCGGTTCGTTGTCGTCATGAATCTTGATGGTTTCCATCTCCACATCGTAATGCATGGGCTGATCGCCCCTCAAGTAGTGCTGGATTTCCTCCAGGCTCTTGCCTTTTGTTTCCGGGACCACGCAGATGATAAAGACTAGACCCAAGATTGAGCAAATAGTGAAACCGTAAAAGGCCATGTGAATTCCGTAGTTGTCCATCATAACTTGGAGGAACTTGGACGCGATGGCGGCGACCAAGCTGAAATAAACATCGGCTAGACAAAGGGCGTATGCCTTAACGTTGGTGGGGAACAGCTCGCCAAGCAGGCAAATTGGAATGCTTTGCATGCCAACACTGAAGAAAATCACGAACAGAATCAGGCCGGCCACCGGAAGGTATTCCAGGCTGGAAGTGTCAATGGATGTCTCCTTTTCGATGTAGAAGTAGGTTCCTTCGAGGAACAAGGCGATTATAGAGCCGGTCATTGAAATCAGCAGCAACGGCTTCCTGCCGGCTTTGTCCACGATACTGGACGAGACCATGGTCATAATCAGCATCACAGTAAAGTACATAATCGAGGCCTGTTTGGACGAAATATTGCTTCCGGCCTGCAGAAATATTTCTTGGGCATAAAACGTAATGGCAGTGGTGCCGCTGAATTGCTGGAATCCTCTCAAACCAGCCACAATAATAACCGCTTTCCGGTTACTGGCCACCGTGAACAAATCGAAGAACCTGCCGCGAGCTTTGCTGCAGGTCTGGATGGACACTCGCATCTTCTTAATCTCCTCGTCCAAGTCCGCGTTGCCTCTGAAGCGCCGCAAACTCTCTTTGGCCTGTTCCGGCTTGTTCCGCATCAGGAGATAGTAGGGGCTTTCGGGCATCCAGAGGAACGTCACAAACGCAACCACGCAAAGCGAAGACGAGACCAAGGCCGTGGTGCTGATGCTCAAGTAGGAGCCGATCAGGTTGATCAGCAAGAATCCCAGAATCCAGCTCACCGAGCAGCTGGAGCCTAATAGGCCCCTGATCCGTGGCTCCGCTATTTCTCCTATGTACATGGGCACCACTGTGAAAGTGACTCCGTCAGCTACGCCCGCTATAAACCTGCAACAAACAAATAGTTTACCACTGCAATTTTATGTCGATAATACAGACAACACTGCGAAAAATTACATCGACGCCAATTTCCCGAGAATGTGGACAACGATTTGTGGTGATATTCAAAATGCTAATTCTCCGAGCTGTTGCGTAAGCAACCTGCTTCGCCTGTGGGTCAATCGCCCAATCTGAATGTTTTCCGCATTAATTCAGCCCAAAGCGAAGAAAACACTCAGAAAATGGAGAACGGTTCGTAACACTTACCTAGCTAAGTACAAGTACATCACAGTCTTGGCAAATGCGACCATAATCCAGGCGAGGAAAAATGGCACAGCGGTGAAAATGATGGTCTTTTTGCGTCCAAAGTAGTCGACAATGTTGGCGGCCGTCAAAGCGCCTACTATGGCCCCTAATAGGGGCATCACAGCCATTAGGGCCCCCTCACTGCTGCTGATGCACAAAGGGGAGCTGGTATTGTTCAGGATCTGGGGCAAAGAGGGCGACGGCCAGCCATAGTGCATTCCATCCGTTACAATCGCCAAATTTCCTGAAAAATTATATTTGCTGAAAACCACGAGAGACGTTTTTAAATCGACCTGAATGGGGCCCTGACCAGGGCTTTATTTATTCGCAACCCCCTGCTAATGCTCCCGACAAGGACCAACCTACTCGGACCACCTGTTTTTGTCCCTCTCTGTTTGTTGCTCCCCGGGCCCCGATGGCAGCAGAGACAGGGTCGGTTTCAGGATATTTTTAAGTGAACAGGAAAGTATTTGAAAACGATTCGAACATCCTAAAACTTATGATCGCACAGGTATATTTTTCTCATTTATAAGTGTAATTACATAATTGCACTTATATTGTAAATGGATTTAAAACCTTGAGTGCGGTTTAAAAAAGATGTTGATCTGATTCAGATCGGTAGTGATCCTTGAAAAAATTATCTAAGGAAAGTGGTATTTGCACATCCAAAGACCTGATTTAACAGGGTGATTCAAAAATTGCAGGCATTCAAGATGATAAGTTCATATTAACGAGGGTACTTCTTTATTTTCGGCAAAAACATCTATTCACATTCCCTCAAGTGGTTTAGATCATTTGAAATTAAAATAATCACCTCCAGAAGTTTATCTGAGTGCTTTTGAATCACCCTGTATACATTTACGGGCCAACAAAATTTCTGTTTTAATCTGTTTAATTACTAGATTAGGAGATAAGTGCGAATTGATGGTTCAGCTGATAACGATTTGGATTCAAAATCATCGTCGAAAATGTTCAAACTTTACTCCATATAGTCGTATATTTGAGGGTCTGATTAATTTTAATTCGCCCTGATTGCAGCCCTGCCCAGAGTTACGTTTACGCTCCTGTGCCGCAGACAAAGACACAGATAATCGGATCGGCTTTTGTCTTTGTTATTAGGCGGTCTCTGTTACCCCGGTTGTCTAAGGGCAGCAGCACAGACAGGGTTGGTTTCAGGAGATTTTCCGCGCAAATAAATATTAGTATAATTATTTCGTGATAAATCAAGATTTACATAACTTGGAAATTATTTGTGAATTTGAGTGGTTCTGATTGCCAATGGATTAAAAACATGAGTGTAAAAAGTGCTCCGGCGCGTTGATCTGATAAAAATCTGTACAATTGAACCTTGACGGCGAAAAATATCTAAGCCACGTGTTTTTCCACCCTCAAAGTCCCGATTTGCGTGCCAACTAAATCTCGATTTTATTCGTTTATATCAATGCTTTATGGCCAGGTTATAAATGATTGAGAAAACCCTGCGGCTTTGTTTGTTCGAAAAGCACTAAGACAAAGACTTACCTGCGGCCGCCGCAAAATACTGCAAACTCGCTGAGCCTCCTGTCAATGTGACAGTCGTCATTTTGGTCCCGTTCAACCCCACACCGATAAAAAACCAACACTTTTTTGTCCCGCTGTTGAAGCGCTTTCACTTGAATTTTTTGATCTTCACGTGCCAATCTTCGCGACTACTTCTTCACATGTTTCACTAGACTGACTATCGGCAGACCCCGGTAGCGAATTGCCTGCAAATGAAACACCTATAGAATCAAGGACGGCGCAAAAATAGCGGTATGTACAGGCTGTCTTAAGAACAAAAACGAGCTGGAGATTGTATCGAAAGCTTGTTACAGATCGCACACGTCGACTGTACTCAACTGATCGGAATCACTTATATGAGAGATAGAAGTAAGATAAAACGCTGTTTGGAGATTGCTTTGGATGGACTTAGTAGTAATTAGTTGGCTTAAGTATGTAAATTTAGCTAAATCGATTTTGAATGTGTCTCGTTTAATTGCTGAATTGAAGCAACGACACCGTGTACCTTGACTTGGTTCAAAGTATAATTAATCGCTCATGACTGAATAATTTAAAGCTGCTCGTTGATATTTCATGTAAATTTCCATTCGGCGAATACGCGAAAATACATCAGGTATTATTGGAACCGCATGTTTCAGCCAGTAGATTTCGGGGGTTTTAAAAAGCCATTATTCAAAGATGTTTAACCAGATGCGTATCTTAATGAGCTTAAGCTCTGCCACTTGGGCAAACAATAGCTCGATTTAATCGACATGATAAAGCATTTTTGCAGAATTTGCTGAAAGAACAAGGTTCGGATACTTACGATTTCCTGGTCGGAACAGCGAGCAACGTACAAATGGAAAGCGCACTTCGTTGCAGACAATGTTGACCATCAAAAAAACAGCTGGAGAAGTGCGTTTAAAGGGAAACGGGTGTCGTCATAAGCCGACATTGGCATCAGTTCAATAACATGCCGCGCAAAATAGATAAAAACACAGGAAAAAGGGAGCTGGTGCCATTTTCTGTCGGCTATTTCAGGAATAATCGATATACCGCGCCTTATCCAGAGCATCATCAAGGCTGGCAATCTTCTGATGGTTGTCTCATCAGTCTTATCAGTTGATGGTTTTTCGGCTCTTTGCTTGATGAGATTGTAACAAAGTTTCTGACCTCCAACGGAAGAGCCGAATTTTCATAAATGCCTTTTCGTGTATACCTCGGAAAAGATTCAAGATATCTTAGTGATCATTCGGACCTTTTTGATTTTGAAAAATGTGTAAAGTCGTAGGGACCATTTTGATAGAGCGTTTTGAGAGCTACGTTTTTATCAACAGGTGCGAAGCAAATTCCTGCAGGGAAATTTGGAAGTTTTCCACTGGATGACATTTTGCCCAACAATTACTTTTACCAAACTGTTGTTTATTTCACATTTACCTTTGTTGCATTGTCCAAATATGAAGCAAAATAACACGGACCCATTGCCTGGATCATTCTGGTGGATATGGCGGATGCGCCCCACAGCACTCAACTCGCATGTTATCCAGGTCGTTTCAATCATCTAAGACGCATTGTGAAGGTTTGATTTGGTTCCAACATGACGCTGTTGTTTTTGCAATAATTCCACTCAATTGTCGGGCAACTGCTTGGCAGGTTTTTGGCATATTTTTAAAATCCGGTCGTCATAGATTAAGTCAGCGTTTGGCTGAACTTCGTCATTTCTTTCGTTTTTTTATCTGCCCTGATATCTTGATTGTGCCTATCTGGCTTCTGTTTGCCATCGAATTAGTGTTAGCTATCTGAAGATATTAAGACAATGCTGTTGATTCAGGCTGATTTACTTAGCGATATCACCGTTTACTTTCGATTGATTAATAATTATGTTGAATGCTTCAAGAGGATTTTCCTAAGTGCATTGACTCATTATTTGGTCTTAGTTTGCCGCCAATATCCCAATTAACTAAGACAAAGTGCTCTAAAAATATCCGGCTCTGGAACGCATCCAAGCGAAATTTTCCAGGTGTTCGCCTGAAGACAATCAATGCGGTTTTTCCACACGGAAGCCAGCCCGAAGCTAGGAATCAGAGCAGAGCGCACGCTAAACAATCTGCCTTGATTAGCGCTGATCTACTTGCATTTTTCCTTAGAGTACTTGTACTTATAAAAAAAGCGTTGCTAGGTATATATTTAAGGAACAGCTGATGCGTATTTATATTCACTTGCTTGCGTGTTCTTGGATAGACCTGATCGAGCACTGATGTGAGCAAATTCATTGTCAGCTCGTTTACTGGCTAACAATCGGCTTTAGCGGAATGCATGTGATTTAGTTCTGGTGATTTTCCGCTCAACTATCTAGTGATTCCATCATCATGACCATCATCACTGGCTCAACGCAGAAGATCCAGCAAGGCAGTGCGGTTGTTCAGTACTTGGCTGCCTTCACAGGTAAATAAATTAAAAAAGACGCGTTTTTACAAAAAAACATCGGTTTTTCAGTATTCGGGGTTTTTTAGCCGATTTTCTACAAAGTGCGTGTAAACTTTCCACTGTCCCCGGGCATAAATCGACGCATTTTAAGGCATTGTGATTAATTGGCTTTATATGCGATAAACACTGGGCAATTCGTTCAATTGAAAACCAATCTGAAACATCTGGTGTGAATTAAGACGGTGAAAACCGAGCCTTGGCCGGATCCATCATACATTTTCCATCAACATTGTTCAGCGGTTTTTCATGAAAATGGCCTTTGCTGCTTAGGGTGGCGCAAAATCAAAAGCAGTTGGATGTCGGGAATGGAGCCGCAGAAAGTGTTTCGGACTCAAAAACAAACTTGACGATCGATCAGTTTTTGCGTCCAAATTAGTGTCGTGCCCGAAGGGCTCGGCACAACAATCGCATTAGAGAAAGTGTTTAATGTCGATGTTGTGCCGAGCCCTTCGGGGCCGACACTGTTTCGGACTCACCAGCTGGAGCATGAATCTTTAGCGACAAGTACGCATTTCAACTACCTACTTGACTAATCACTCGCTCTCTCCAGAGATCTAGAGAGAATCTAACAATCTCCCCCTTTCAGGAACTTTGAATATCATCACCAGCGGAATGCACTACGGCTGGCCATCACCATCTCTCCCCAAGCTGCTGAACGGTTCTTCGCCAGTTGCTGTTACAAATGACGAAGGTTCCTGGATGGCGGTCATGCCCCTGCTAGGCGCCCTACTAGGCTCCCTGATTGTAGGCACCACCGTGGACATTTTCGGCCGAAAGCGCACCATCCTCATCTCCTCACTGCCCTTTTTCACCGCCTGGATGATGGTGGCGTTCGCTCCCTCCGTCACCGTGATATACGTGGCGCGATTCATAGCTGGAGTAGCTGATGGCTGGGTCTTCACCGCCATGCCCATGTATATCGGGGAAATCGCCGATCCGAGGATCAGAGGCCTGCTCGGGTCCGGAGTGAGTGTGACGTGGATCTTTGGGATTCTTCTGATCAACGTGATCGGCTCCTACCTGAGCATCACGGTTGCCGCGTTGGTCAGCAGCTGCTTGCCTTTGATCGCAATGGGGAGTTTTGCGTTTATGCCAGAGTCGCCCTATTACTTGCTGATGAGGGGCAACGCTGAGGAGGCCAAGCGGAGCTTGCAACGTTTTCGCGGACTGAGCGATGTGGACGCTGAGCTGAACCGAGTTACGTTCGCCATCAGGGCGCAGAACAAAAACGCCGGCAAGTTCCTGGACTTGTTCAGGAACAAAGTGAACCGCCGGGCTGTGCTGATCATGATGATCCTCCGGGGCGCTCAGCAGCTGAGTGGAACCACCGCAGTCACCTTCTACGCGCAGTCGATTTTCATAGAAGCGGGCGACCATATTTCCTCGGAAGTGGCCACAATCATCTACTTCGGCGTCCAGTTGACTCTGGCCTGTTTCTGTTCCTCCATAGTGGACAAAGCCGGGAGACGCCCGCTGCTCATTGCCTCCATTACGGGCTCCGCCTTGTTCCTGTTCATGGAAGGCGCGTACTTCTACATCAAGGCCTGCACCCATTGGAACGTCGAAGCCTTCACCTTGGTGCCAGTGATTGGGCTGATTGGTTTCGTGGTCGTTTTCTCCTTGGGCATGCAAACCATCCCCATTCTCATGCTGGGAGAGCTGTTCTCCTCCAATGTGAAGGCCTTTGCGCTTTGTCTGGCCGATATCTACTTCTCCATCATCGCGACTGTGGTCTCCAAGTTCTTCCAGATCATGAAGGACTCCTTCGGCATGTACACGCCCTTCTTTGCCTTCTCCTTCAGCTGTTTGGTCGGTCTGGTTCTGATCGTTCTTTTTGTGCCCGAGACCAAAGGAAAAACGCTGGAGGACATTCAGGCCAGTTTGAGCGAGCAAAGCGAGCCAACTAGTCAAGAGGCCAGCAACTTATCCTAAGACTGAAAGCCGCCTGCATGGACTTCAATGGAGAGTGTCTGATGAGTGCATGTTGCCTAGTGATTAATTGAGTCCATCTGTATTATAGCCCATAGAACTTTTTATAACTAGACAATACACAGTTTTTTTTGTATCTAGACGCGTATTTACCTCAGCTGATTTTTTGTTTGTCTAGAAGAAAGAAACGTGTTGCATCTGTTTTCCAAGCATCCCACACGCCGACTGGGCGATTTCTGGCAAAAGATCCGAGTATTTTTTCGCATTTTCGAAGCAAAATATTTTGACTGAGTGCGAACAATGCGGTCTTTGACTTGGAATCGTCCGCTCAATCATCAGCGGCTTGGAAATAGATCAGCGCGGCCACAAAGGAATATTATTAACCATTGAATGTGTCCCCTTTTTGCGTTGCCACTGCAAATGTGGGTTATTTTCGCTGGTTTTTTTTTTGGCTGAGACTTTGCCTGTTTAGCATATGCTTGCCAGAGCATCTTAATCTGCCAATGGGCCAAAAATGCCTTAGAAACGTGCGATTATCCAAACAGAAGCTTTAGAATGCTTCCCGATTCGTGTTTTCGAGTAAGGAGTTCATTCGCCATTCTGTCTGCAGTAGTTGATTCGTTAAATAAATGCGAACATCGCAAGATTGGAGGTTTATGGGAATTAGTGACATGAACCGGGAAGTAAAAAAGGCGATTTTCGGCAAAAAATGTTTAACAAACTCGCATTGGTCCAGATAAACCTTTCAAAAGCTCCTGGATTCTGTTGTCATCCCCTCCAGTTAGTGTGATCGTCGATGCTTCATAGGCAACACCTTTGCCAATTCGCTCCGCCTATTTTACGAAAATTCCCAGGAATTTTCGGTTTTCCTGCCAAAAAGGGTTGATTTTCTCAAACCGGAAGTGCTCCTCCACCCTTTCGCGGTATTTTCCGATCCGAGACCAAGATTTTTGCCATAAAATCCCGAATTTTAAAGTTGGGATATTTTGACGTCTCCTGACAACCATCAGCGGTCATCCCTGACATTTTACGACCAATCAGGACTGAGCATTGCGGACATCCCAGCGTCAAATTGTTGCAGGTGCAGTGTTGCCGCGTGTATTTTTTAAATAATTTTCTTCCATCGGGCGGCTTCCCTTTAAAGAGTGTGGTATTTGCCGGTCTGAAAGTGCGATTTTGCAAAGAAACTCGATCGACTGTGGGACAATTTTGGACGTCTGCCCATGACATTCAAGTGTACACATAGAGAGATTTGGAGAGATTTTGGGGCTTCTGAGGGCGCTCCTAATGCCGTGAAGAACTATTTGGATGGGGAAATAAGCAGCTGAATGGTAAGTGCAACTTGTTTTAATATTCGGCCTGGAATCGCTTTCGACTTAACTGTTTTCGCACAGGTTTGCATTGCTCGCAACAAAAAAATTTAAACCGCAAGTTCAAGCGTCCAAAACCGGCAAAAATTGATAATGAGAAGACGCTTTAAAACGTTCAGTTCTATGAACTTCGGTGTTTTACGTCTACTTTCATTTAGATGCACAATGTTTCTATGAATCCGCAATAACCATTGTGTTCAAGTTATTCCGGAAAGCCCCCAGTGGTAATTTTTTTGTAATCAGGTATCACAGGTAAAAAGATTAGGTTTAAAAAAGGTAGTTCTTAGAATCCAGATGGAAATTCGATCAAATTTCGGTAAATATGACGTTGAATAGGCGCGTGGAGCAAGATTATTGCAAAATTTCTTGTTTTCCGTCCCGTTTTGCATGTTTCTCGGAAGCAAAATGAGCAAGAACGCTCCTTTTTACATCATTCCAGAGATAACTAAATGGCCTTTATTCGAAGTTTCTGAAGAACCATTCGAGCCACAGAATTCGTTTTGGCATCGTTGGATAGAGAATTGAAAAGTCGATTCAGTACGTAACAACGTGAGTGAGGAAATTCGAGTAGTTTTCCTCACTCACGTTGTTACGACGAGAATTGGATGGGGGGGGTCATGACCCTTTGCTTGCTCAATAGCGGTTTCCCAATTTCCTTGCTATATTAAAGCAAGTTTACTGTTTAGGAAGTAGTTTACTTCAGCCGTAACACTCGGTCCACTAAACCCCCTTAAAACATCTGAAATTGCGCTTAAAGTGGGCCCACCCTGTATATAGTTCAAAGGAAGTTTAGACCGTACAGTGTAAGAATCTGTAAACTCATCCAACATTCAGGCGTCTAGTTTTTCGTTGGGTGTGGGAATATTTAACAAAAGCAAAGTCCTCCAGCCTTATGGTGGTTATCGCAAACATGTTGATTAAGGTGTGATAACCTCCATTCGAAAGGTTTCACCTCATCGAGGCAAATTCTTTCTTATCGCCACCATCAACAGCTTGACCAGCTTCCCGCATCAGCATAGTCCATTTCTAATCTGGCTCGTGGACTGAAAGTAGAGCCTCCGTGCCCAATTAAGTCGTTTTATTGGTGACAATTGAATAGACGATACGCAAAATTATTAAAAAATTTCATCATCAGCTCCGCGCTTCAGTTTTCAGTAATTAATACATGTAGTGGAGCGAAGAGTTCGTTCAGTGCCTGCAGTTAGTATGACTATTTTTTCCAGTGGCACTTTGAAGTGTACCAAGAGGAACAATAACAGTTTTCAGTATTTGGCTGCAGTTGCAGGTGAGTTTCTCCCGCTCGCTTTCTACAGGGTGTTCATTTAGTGTTACGGTCTTCAACTCGGAAGTTTACCACAACTAGAATCGCGTTAAACTCTTTTTTTAAGCCAAAAGCCATTTTCTGGGTAGTGCGGTTTCTTCTACAGCTTTCACTCGTCGTCCCTGACTAATAGTGATAAGCAAGTTTTTTTTTATTCCTGAAATAAAAACTCATCGCCATTCATGGCCAGCTCCCAGGCCAATTCATTGGACCATTAAAAATTCTATAAAAGCATTAAAAGTTTTATAGAAAATGCATAACCTTTGCCACGATATAAACGAAAATATTATGAACTGTCGAGGTAAATGAGCGCAAATCACGCAGAGCCGATATGACCTATAGAGAAAAAAATTGTCGACAAGACAATCCACTTGAGTGAAATAAACGTGTAAGAGCAGGGGCGGATCCAGCTTTAAAGTCAGGA